GTGCTGACTGCATAAGTGTTTCCCAAGCATAAGGAATGAGTCTCTGTCCTTCTGCAATAGCCTTTATGGAAGCACAAACAAAAGGAGAATTTGTGCCATACTGTTTTACAGAGTCCTTAAAATCCTTGAGAAAAGGAAGTGTGAAACTTTGCCAATTAACTGGATGAACAAATAGTTGATTAGGGTTAAGGGGGTCAGGTCTAGTAATGGCCGCAATAGCCGGCGGCTCCTGCTGGGGAATGACCTGTTGCACTGCCCTTGGAGGCTGATGTGCAGCCTGGGGCTGGGCAGCTGCTTGGGGCTGTAACAGCTGCTGTGACGGTTCTGCTTCATCTGCGGCTGGTGCACCAACATTAGGAGCTGGAGCTTCTTGTAACGGTGCTGCAGGGGGAGCCGGGGGATTAGCCTGATTATCAGCCATTGGCAATATCTGAGTTCCCTGAATAGGTGGGGTGTACTATGACCAGGAATTGCCAAGTTCATCCTGAGCCCAAGGAAGCTTGGGGCATCATAGTTAAATTTTGGGCAAGAACTCTTGATCCTGTGTTAGAGGAGAGATTGCCCACGATTAAAGGAGCCATGTTACGAACACCTGATACCATAGGAGAATTCCCCACTGTAGTAAGAGAAATGCCTCCTGTATTCCCAGTCCTAGATGAGTTTACCTGGGCCATATTGGGCAATGACAGGGGCACAGGCTGTTGAATTATTCCCCACTATTGTGTTTTCCGTGCTTTTTGCGACTGTGTGGGTGCCTGTTTCATGCCATTAGTATGAAGAGGACAGTTATGAGAGCTTTTTAAGGTGCATAGTTCCACCCCGGCAGGTTGAAAAAAAGAGTTAGAATTCACGGGGGCGCCCATTTCCGCGCCGGCAGATTGAAAAGAAGAGTTTATGGGGGCGCCTAATTCCGCGCCGGTCATGGGGGCGCCTATTTCCGCGCCGGTAAATTGGGATTGAGAGTTTATGGGGGCGCCTCTTTCTGCACCGGTCATGGGGGCACCTATTTCCGCGCCGGTAGATTGAGAATTTATGGGGGCGCATAGTTCCACGCCGGTAGTTTGAAAGATAGAGTTCATGGGGACGCCTATTTCCGCGCCGGTAGATTGAGAATTTATGGGGGCGCATAGTTCCACCCCGGTAGGTTGAAAGATAGAGTTCATGGGGGCGCCTATTTCTGCGCCGGTCAATTGAGAGGTAGAGGCAAGTAAAGGAGCAGAAGGCAGGACAGGGTGGTGAGAAAGCATAAAATCACACCCTACTCCTTGGGAGACTTGAAGTGTTTTACAATCTGAGGAAGCAAAAGGAGGGGGAGCAGACCATTCAGGAGGTTGATGAAGTTGAGTGATAAGATCAGAAAAGGGAGGAGGCGGCTGACTGAAAGTGTCAGTAGTAGTAGAATCAGGAGAAGGCGGCTGAGAAGCAGTTCGAGGTGGTGGTAATTCAGCGGAACAGCAGTTTAAAACCTTTTCAACTTCTTCTGGAGAGAGGAAAGGAGAATTGTCAGGGCCTGAGTCATCAGCCTGCAATGTTTCAAGCATAGTGTGAATTTTGGCCCAGGTTGCAATGAGCCGAAGTTGCCATCTCATTACCCGCACTCCTGGCAATGCGAAGCTGATCACCAATTTCATCCCAGTCCTGCAAGTCAAGTGTACCTTCAGCTGAGAACCATGGACAGAGAGAATCTATAAGACTGAATAGCACAACAAGCTTGCCTGAGGAGGCTGAAACACCCCCCTGCCTTAGTAGGGTTTTAATAAAGGAAATATAGGAGTCATACTTAGGGTTGGTTTGTCCCATTTTAACCCCGAGATTACTGTGAGCGTTACAAAAAGTCAGTCCCACTTTTCTTACCAAACACCCAGGAATCCAGCGCTGACTTCTCCGCAGTAGTAGCTTTGACAGCTACACTAAGCACAACAATAAGGAACCCACAAGTTGGGCGCCAGGTGTATGGCTGAGGGCCCCACAGGGTCGTGGGGTGAGCCTTATGCTGTGCTGATCCGAGAAATAAAGAGACAGGACACAGAAGTACAAGAAAAACGCAGCTGGGCTCGGGGGGCCATGCCACCTACAAGCGGAGTCAGGTGAGGCCCCGAATGTCCAGAAGCATGAGTATTTATTGTGTATAGGTTAGGGGGCAGGGCAGTGAGTGAAATCATCTTTAAGGATAGTGATAGGGTCGTGAGCAATAAAACATGGGGTCCACCCCCGTTAGGTCACCTAGACCAGGAGGTGGACAGTGTGCAGCAAGGGGCCCGTTCCCACGAAGGCAAGGGCCATGTGCAGTAAGGGGTCCACCCCCATGAGGTCACCTAGGCTTGAAGGTGGGCCGTGCTCAGTGAAGAGGGTGCAGTGTGCAATACTTCTATCTGTGGGCAAACTACTTCTAAGAAGATTTATAGGAGGATGCCTTAAGTCACATAGCAGTGACAGAGCTGTCAGGGTGACCGCCACCTTCTGGCAGCTTCCAATGTGTTCTATGGGAAGATGCTTTTCAAACAGCACAGTAGCAAGAGCTGATAAAGTTCACAGTCACCAAGGTGGATTGCCGTTCTGAGGGCAGCCTTCCACAAGAACTGGAGCAAGGTCCTACAACTCCCTTATCAGGAGGAGTGGCTCTCGCCCCAAGCCTGCCATACAGCGGGCATCTTTACGATACTGAACGCTGCCGCCTGGGCCATGGATTCTTGTCCTGGTATAACTGCTTTCCCTTAAATCATGCTCTGCACTGTGTCTGCTCTAGGCATTCCTCCGATTATAAGCTGCTTATTCCTTAATTCATGCTCCGTAATGTGTCCACTCTAGGCATTCCTCCGATTATGAACTAAGATATAATTATAGGTATATATGTAGAGAAATATTCTTTAGGCACTCATACTCTATTATATATAGAGGATTATATAAAGGGATTCTTCAAGCCCTATTTGTATAAACTAATATATGATTATGTAAAGGATTATATAAAAGGAAATAGCTGAGTAGTAACACTATAAAGTGAGATATTCCTCAAGCCCTAACTGTGCCAGGGTTCTGCTTAGCTCTCATTCCTCGGTGCCTATATGGGGGGGTTACCCACATGTTGATAGCGGCATTATTCATAATAGACAAAAGAAGGAGAAAAGCCAAATGTCTGTCAATTGATGAATGAATAAACAAAATGGATATATGCAAACACATATTATTATATTATTCAGCCATAAGAAGAAATAAAGCCTGATAAATGCTACCTTAAACCATGAAGAATGAACCTTTAAACGTTTTGCCAAGTAAAAGAAGCAGTCATGAAAGATCATATATTGTATGATTAATTTTCCATGAAATCCCCAAAATAGGGAAATCCACAGAGACAGAAAATGAATCTGTGGATTCCATGGATTGGGGGGAGGAGGAAGTGGAGAACAGCTGTTAGTGGATATCGCAGTTCCTTTTAGGGTGATGAAAACCTTTTGGAGTTAGTAGAGATAGCTGGATAGCTTTGTCAATATACTAAGAACCACTGAATTGCATGCGGATGAATATTATGGTATGTGAATGCATTTTAATAAAGGTGTTATTTTATTTATATATATTTATTTATTTTTATTTTTTGAGACAGAGTCTCACCCTGTCACCCAGGTTGAAGTGCAATGGTGCAATCTCGGCTCACTGCAACCTTCACCTCCAGGTTAAAGCTATTCTCCTGCCTAAGCCTCCTGAGTAGCTGGTATTACAGGTGTGCGCCACCACACCCGGCTAATTTTTGTATTTTTAGTACAGACGAGGTTTCACCATGTTGGCCAGGCTGGTCTCTAATTCTTGGCACATGACCTGCCCGCCTTGGCCTCCCAAAATGCTGGGATTACAGGCATGAGCCACCATGCCTGACCTTAATAAGGGTGTCATTTTAAAAACAAGCTAGGTACCTACAGTATAAAATTGAAGGAGGTTCTGATTCTCAGGGCCGTTCAAATGCAGGATTGGCCCCTACGAGTGTGGCCCTCCTGAAATTTTGGGCCTTAGGCACCTGGCTTACCTCTCCCTAATTCAGGCCCTCAGGAGAAAGCTCTACTTCTGGTCAATTTGAAATAGGAGGGCGTGACTTCTGGGAGACGCTCCCTGGGAGCCATTTGGTCTGTTCTCTTCCTCTGAATGTCACCGTGTCAACACAAAATGCCTCAAATTGCGTCCAGCCTAGGATGGAGGCGGTGGGGAGATATCTGATGACATCACAAACTGCTGCATCAACTCTCCCAAGTCTCTGCCTCTGGACCCCTGATAGAGGATGCAGGAGTGTCCTGAGCCCATGTAACTCAGTGTCTCTTCCCATCACTTTGCGGCAATGGTGGGGCTGCTTAAACCAACCGCAGTCCAAGCAGCTGTGGCAGGAGAAGGGCTCGGTTACTAGGAGTGAGGACGCCTGGTTCTCTATCTGGACTAGTACCAGTTAGTACTAATGCCCAGGAGTAGTACTAGTACTAGTACTCAGGACTAGTACTAGTTAGTGGTGGGACCTGGAACAAATGCTTTGGTTCTAATTGAATCCCTCATATTCATAAGACAAGAGGAGTGGACCCATGGGGCCTTCCCACTGAACATCGAGCTTGGCTGTCACCCAGCTACTTTCTGAAAGTAGGAAAGTCGAGGGTTCCAGGCTCTGTCTCCTTCCCGCAGACCCCTTGTTTTTTGGCGCAGAGGTCCTGCACACCGCAGGCTACCAGCCTGCTTCTCTGGGCTGTCAGTTTCGGAACCTGGTCCCAAGCGGCCGCAGCGCTGGGGGTGAGTGAGGCCGGGCGCGCGCCTTGGGCACCTGGCTGGCCTCTGACTGGCGGAGGCAGTCGCGGAAATAGCCCTGGGCGGGGCAAGTTGGGGAACCCTGGCCCTGCCCCTAGCCCTGCCCCTAGCCCTGCTCCGGGCCACCTCGCGCGCCGCCCCCGCTGGTTCCGGGAGACCAAATATGACGAATGACGAGTGATCTGCTCCTCTGCTGTCGTCCGAGTATAAAAGGTGTGCCGGCAAAGTCCGGAGTGAGAGTCGGCAGCGAGCGCAGTAGTAGGACCCGGTCCTGCGCCTCAGGAATCGGCGTCCAGGTTCGGAGCGCGGCACAGAGACGGCGGCAGCGTTGGAAGAGGTGCAGGTGAGGGCGTCCCCGCGCAGGGCCGGGCTGGGGGACAGGAGTGGCGAGCTTCAGGTCCCCCGGCTGCCACCGAGAGGTGGGACTCGAGGACGGGAGAGGTCGTTCAGCCAAGAGCCCCGGGGAAGCACTGCAGTCTCGGTGGGGCCAGCAACGGTCTCTGGGAGTTCCCTTGCAGCGCGTAGCGGGTCTCTGCCTCTGCGGCCCGCAGCCCGCGCAGACGCCGCCCACCCCGACGCCTCCTGGCTGCCCTTCCAGGGCCGAAGCCGTCCCCCGCAGCCTCCTCCCCACCTGCCGGCCCTATTTTCCCACTGCTCTTCTCTGCTCTGGGGTCCGCAGTATGACAACGTCTGTCCTGCTTCTTATCTTTTATAGTCACCATTCTCCAGTTCCAAATCCGAGCACTCTTATCCATATTTCAGCGAAACGGATGGGGCCTTTCCTTCCCCCGAGCACTCCTCCAGGGCCTGAGAATCAGGGCAGTCAGGCGCAGCCCCTCGCCTGCAGAGCCAGCGGTCTGCAGGGACCGCCAGCAAGTAGATGAGGAATCACCTTCGGAAGGGTTGTGCTAGGGAGGGTCGCGCCGGCGGGGTGTAGGGAGCCTCCTAGCCACAGTGTTTGAGGGTGAGTGGAATTAATCCGTGATGGGCATGGCGCCTCCGAAGGGGGAGCAACAGTGTTTACCAAGAGGTGACTTTGGGAGGGATTCAGGATGGCCAGAGATGGAGGCTGTGACCTGAGTGAGGCTGGCTCAGGGGAAGGGCAGGTGGAGAAGAAACCATTTCAACAAGGCAGCTTTGAGCGGACCCTAAGGGCCCCGGGAGATTTAGGAGGAAGGACGAGAGGATGGAGACACCGCTTTCCTCTCAGGATGCTGTGTGGCTGTGGCTGAGGGTGGCTGCGGGCAGCGGGTTGTGTTCATTGTCCAAAGCTCTCCAGTGGTTTGGCTGGCGTTTTGGGAAGTCCAGGTGAGGTGTCCTGGGAGCGGTTCTAGGGAGCCCAGAGGCTCAGGAGGAAGCCTGGGCACTAGGCCAGGCACAGGATCTGAAGTGGAGAGAAATGTGGGTGCAGAGGGCAGGCCTTGGGGATGAGTGTGGGAGAGAAGAGAGATGGGAAGGAGTCAGGGAGGTCTCCCAGCCTCACTTGGATGGTTGAGGCTCATTTCCAAGGGCATTGGGAACTGCGGCCTGGGGGTGGGCATCCCTTTGGTTTCGGATCTGTGGCCAAGATACCCAACCACTCATATTCACACTTTGCCTCCACTGGCTTCAGAGGTAGTGCCAGCTACTTGTTCTTGCTGGTTTTACTTCCTCACCTTGGGCTCTTTCTTGCCTTCCCATTCTAGCATTCTGCAGGGATCAGTTTCTTCCTCCCATGCACAATCTACTCTCATGGCTTTTGCTGGGAGTAATGAGGAAAGCTCCAAATAGATGTTTTTGAGTTAGAACACTGAAAACAAAATGAAGCAAAAACAAAGCATTTCCAATGTCCCAAGGTCACATGATGTCCAGAGGACAGTGATGGGCATTAATGTTTTGTCTTCCCTCTTAGAATGCAAGCTCCACAAATGGAACAGAGTGTTGGTTTTTTTGTTTCTTTTTCTTTTCCAGAGTCATGCTCTGTCACAGGCTGGAGTGGAGTGGCAACGATCTTGGCTCACTGTAACCTCTGCTTCCCTAGGCTCAAGCAATTCTCCTGCCTCAGCCTCTGGAGTAGCTGGGACTGCAGGTGTCATGCTACCATGCCCAGCTAATTTTTGTATTTTCAGTAGAGACAGGGTTTCACCATGTTGGCCAGGATGGTCTCAATCTCTTGACCTCGTGATCCGCCCGCCTTGGCCTCCCAAAGTGCTGGAGGTGTGGCCAGCTGAGTTTTTTTTGTTTTTGTTTTTTGTGCAGTGGGTCGATCTCAGCTCACTGCAACCTATGCCTCCTGGGTTCAAGCGATTCTCTTGCCTCAGCCTCCAGAGTACCTGGGACTACAGGCGCATGCCACCACACCTGACGCATTTTTTGTATTCTAGTAGAGACAGGGTTTCACCATGTTGCCCAGGCTGGTCTCCAATCCCTGAACTCAGGCGATCTGCCTGCCTGGGCCTCCCAAAGTGCTGGGATTACAG